GTTGTCGGCAGGAATGGTCAGCGCTTCCATTTCTGGGTAGAAAGGAGGCAGGGTACAAGCCCAACGCTCATGTGGCCATGGACAAAGACCTGGTTAGCCGGTTCGCCTGGAAAGTCCCGGGGGCCCCTCATGTGTGTCCTGCCTACTTGCCTTACTGTCTCTAGGGACATCTCTGTGGCGCTTGCCGCGAAGACTCCTCTCTCTCTCTCCTTTTTTTTTTTTCTTTTTTGGAGCGAGTCTCGCTGTGTTGCCCGGCTGGGGAGTTGCGTGGCGATGGATCTTGGTCCTGCAGGCTCGGCCTCTGCCTCCTGGTTCAAGGAGATTCTCTGCCTCCCCTCCCGATAGCGTTGGGATTTAGGTGGCTGCCACAATGGCCGTGGGCTTATTTTTATAATTTATCTAGAGGACGGGATTAATGCACCATTGTTGCCAGTGCTGGTCTCGATTTCTGGACTCGAAGTGGATTCACCTGCTCAGCTCCAAAGTGCTGGGATTACGGTTGTGGAATGGCCAGCCCAGTTCGGAAACCCCTTTTTTTTTTTTTTTTGAGATGGAGTGTCTTGCCTCTGTTGCCCAGGACTAGGGAGTGGAAGTTGTTGTGGATCTCAGTCAGAACCTCTGCCTTCCTTGGTTTCGAAGTTCGTTTCTCCTGGCTCAGTGCTCCGAGTCTGGGGATTAACAGGTGCCACCACCACCCAGCTAATTTTTTTTTTTTTTTTTTTTTTTTTTTTTTTTTTTTGGATGGGTCTCGCTCTGTCGCGCCGGGTTGGTGCAGTGGCCGGTCTCGCTCACTGCAGGCTCCGCCTTCCGGGTTTTACGGCCTTCTCCTGTTCAGCTCCGAGTAGTTGGGGACTCGGCGCCGCCCACCTCGCCCGGGCTGTTTTTTGTATTTTTTTAGTAGAGACGGGTTTACCCGTATTGCAGGAGTGGTCTTGATCTCCTGACCCTCGTGGATCCGCCTTCTGGCCCTCCCATATTGCTGGAGCAGGCTTGAAGCCACGCGCCCGCAAATTTTTGTATTTTTAAACAGACGAGGGTTTTCACTATGTTGGCAGATGCTCTTCAAACTCCCTGACCTCAGGCTGGTCGCGCCACTTCGGCCTCCCAAATTGTGTGGGGATTACAGGGCTTGGTCACTGAGCCTGGGCCTCTGAAACCGTCCCCTTTTATTGTTAATCTGGTAAGGGGTGGTTTCGTTAATCAAAATGAATTCTACTGTCCAAGGTAGTGAGTGGGCTGGCGCTGTAGTCCCACACATTTGAAAGGCTGGAGGTGAGCCGACGCGGGTGGCTCAGCTGTAAGCCCAGCACTTTGAGGCCGAGCGGGTGGATCAAAGAGGGTCAGGATGATCGAGACCTCCCTGGCTAAACGGTTTTTGAAACCCCGTCTCTGTACTAAAAAATACAAAAAAACTAGGCCGGGCGAAATACATAAAGAAAAACCCGGGAGGCGGAGCTTGCAGTGAGCTGAGATCCGGCCACTGCACTCCAGCCTGGGCAACAGAGCGACACTCCGTCTGAAAAAAAAAATAATAATAATCAACAGCCGTGTGCGGTGGCTTAAGCCTGTAATCCTAGCACTTTGGGAGACTCAGACAGGCAGACCGCTTGAGGTCAGGAGATAGAAACCAGCCTGGCCAACATGGTGAAACCCCGTCTCTACTAAAAATACAAAAAATTAGCTGGGTGTGGTGGGCAAGCCTGTAATTCTAGCTACTCTGGAGGATGAGGCAGGAGAATCGCTTGAACCCGGGAGGTGGAGGTTGCAGTGAGCCAAGATGGTGCCACTGCACTCCAGTCTGGGCGACAGAGAGAGACTCTTATCTCAAAAACAAAAAACAAACCAAAAAAACCCACCCACAACCAGAATCCTAAGGCAGTGGTGTGCTGAAGCGGCTCATATTGGCTCAAGGGAGCCGACCTGTTAACAATTTAGGATCTCGGCTGGGTGCGGTGGCTCACGCCTGTAATCCCAGCACTTTGGGAGGCCGAGGTGGGTGGATCACAAGGTCAGGAGATCCAGACATCCTGGCTAACATGGTGAAACCCCGTCTCTACT